CCATTTAATGCACTAGAACTGTATGTATTAGAAGCACATAATAAATGTTAGAATATTCATGATGGGAGAGACATGGTAACAAGGCAGTGGTGGGATTCAGCCAGTTCGCACCAGTTAGGGAGAACCGGTTGTTAACTTTCTGAGCAGTTTGGTGAACTGGTTGTTGGAAGAAATCATTAGGGCAGAGAACCAGTTGTTAAATTATTTGAATCCCACCACCCTATCAACAAACTCTTTTTTTTAATCATTCTTGTAAACTTTACATATCTATTCTCCAATTTGAAAGCTATCAAAATATATTTAATTTATTTTTGAACAGTTGTTCTGCAAGAACTATGTTTAACTGTTTATGTCTCAAGTACATTTTTCATTTCACTTTCATTTCTGTCCAAATCTGAAAGGTAATGGCTCCTTGAGGAATTTGCTTTGATCTCGGTAATCTAGGACAGATTATTCTCAGTAATAGAAAGCATTAACCAAATCATGATGCAGAACTAAAAGCCATAAAACAATGAATAAAATCAAAGTCAATCGGTACTGACACATATTCATAGTGCATTGAGTTTTAATGTGGAGGCACATTGCCAACTGGGTAGTTTGTTGCTGTTTTGCAAAATATTCCTAGACTATCAAAACCAGGGATTTAAAAGCATACAAATGTGCTCTTTTATTTGTGCAATGAACAGCTCTTAAGAGGAAATAAATACCATTAATTCCTATGACTAGGAATCTTGAGCTCATGACATCAGTGGTTTAAATTTAGAAAGGAAAGGAAATAACATTTCACATTGAATTGCTCTGGCCCACTCCATGCAATGTGCAGATGCAAAACATGTTAAAAAATTTCTATAAACTCCCACAGACATTGACAGCTCTTGGCTTCTACCTCAGAGTCATTTATGTTAGCTGTGGCTCAGAGAAAACAATATTTCTCTTGCCAGCAGAAACATTCACTCCACCTGCATAGTCATGCTCATAACAAGTTTAAAAAGTTACCATGTTTGGGAACCTCTAAATTATGAAAGAGATGTGAAAGTAATATCAATGTGTAACTGCTATTCTACTCAGCCAAGAAGGACTATTGTGGTAAACTACAATCATGTGATGTCCATGCAAAAAAGAAATACTGTACTATTTTACTCTTTATGGCCTTTTTTCATTATCATTTACTTTTAAAATTGAAAAACAAAACTGTGTATATTATATAAAACAGTGTTTCTCAATGTTGCCCATTTTAAGAGTTTTAACAGTCAGATAAGACACAGCGAAGCCTATAGCTGGATGGTAGGCTGGACAAGATACTCAGAAAGGACCCTCCCTAGTTTCTTATGCTAGAAAGGAGATAGTGGGAGAATTGTATTTTCAGAATTGTAAGCTTTACAACAAAGTAGAATTAGCTTATCTGGTCATGGTTCTTGTCTGGTCTATCGGACAAACTGACACATATGAGTTGGGTGGTAACGTAAATCAAATCCAATCAATCAATAAACTACCCATTGTTTCTGTCCAGTGAGTGCTAAACCTGTTAGGAGTTAAACATGGCAACTCCTGCCATTCCCCAACTCTTCCCTTTCTACATTATAAGACTGCGAGCTATGCACTGCCCCAAAGAAGAAACGTGTTACCAAAGGAATACAATTTTGCACAAATGTACATATTCTAGTCTGCAGGGATAGTTGCATGTTTAGAATTATTAGACTTTAAAGAGAAAAGTAACACCTCACAACAGAACAGCGAAAACTGGGACTAGGTGTCCCATATAGCTTCTTTAATTGGTTGACCACGAGCTTGCTATTGCTACACAACTTCAAAGTCTTTGCGGCTGTCCTCTTTTGAAAGTTTTTAACCCAGACTCCAACTATGTAGTTTTAAAAAGTTTTAAATAAATACATTTAGTACACCCCTTATCCTCCCCCTAAGCAGGGCAGCAGGTATTTGAACTGTTGCATAAAAAGAAGGAAAAGGAAAAGGTCAGATTAGTGTGATGATAGTAATGTATTCCAGAGATATGAAACAAGAAACCTCTGAAATAGAACAAGTGGACTTCNCAGCTGGGACTTGGGAGGCAGAGAATAGATAGCTGTGGGGCCAGTCAGAGGTGGTATTTACTGGTTCTCTGAACTACTCAAAATTTCCTCTACCGGTTCTCCAGAACTGGTCAGAACCTGCTGAATATCACCTCTGGTTCAAGTTAATTGGAATAATTATTACAATGATGCTATCTTTGCAGATGTAAATTATTTGTAATTGTTTTAATAAATGCAGTAAATAAGAGATCTTAAAGATCAATATTCGGTTGAAGCCAGAACTTTTCCTTGTAGGATTAATGGATCAATGGTTAGAAAAATATTATTTGTTTAAAATAATTGCCACGGAAGATTATTTTAATATATGATCAAGCTGTGAGATTAACTGTACACACAGAGATGGAAATATTCAATACTATCCCTATGCAGGAAGGGTTCGTGACGTTGACAGATTTTGCTGAAATGAATAAATTAACTTCTTTGATTAGACAAAAGACATTATCTACATTTAACGCTGACAAGAAGCCTCTTATGGACTTTTTGTATAAAGATTGGGGAGGGGGATGATGATCTTGTGACTTATGGTTTTGATGCTTAGACAAGACAAATTATAGAAAGATGAGTAATGTAACTTTAGAGAGAGAGAGGTCAAAATATATTTGTACTTATAACTTCTGTAAAAAAATACCGAAAGCCACTTCTTTATATATATATTTTAATTTCTCTTTAACTTTTCTCTTTTTCTTGTACCTTTTTTTTCCCCCTGGAATTTTTTTCTTTTCTTTTCCTTACTTTGTACTAATTTGTGCTAGCTTTTATCTTCTGTTTTAAAAGTTTTAATAAGAATTACTCATAACAATGATATAAAAAATTAAAATTCCAATGGCTTTATGGGGAACAATAATATATTATAACGAACATTGCCTCACAATTAATATATCTATTTAGAGGTCTCCCTTTGTTACAATCTTTAAAATATTTTAAGCAGACTGATAAATTATTTATAAAAGTTTTTAAAAGCTAGCAACACGGCCTAGATTTTCTTCAATGTGCAATTTAAATATGATTCTTGTAGTAAGATACATATAAAGATAGATAGATAGATAGATAGATAGATAGATAGATAGATAGATAGATAGATAGATAGATAGATAGATAGA